TCAAATAAATGCGCAATTTTGTGCAAACCTGGTTTCGTATTGATACAAAAATAATGCGAAATCTCGTGCAAAAAAAAGTCATTTCGTGCTTAAACGCGAAACCAAATTGATCCGGAAAAAATTAGACCATATCATCAAGTAATAATTCTATTATTACCTAATTATTACCTTGAGACATCCCAAAAATCCACGAAATCGCGCCCATCTTCTATTGCAATTGTGAACATTTTCTCTTTGTTTACATTGTAAAACAAGAACAAAAAAAGTTTGCGGATTTTGTAAACAAATTTCGAGGATTTTAAAAATTTCAGAAAAATCGAATTTCGGTGGAGGCAAATTGTTGAAATTTTGTTTGTCTTTGTTCCCTATCGATTCAGCTGTTTTGACGTTAACTAGCAGACAAGCAAAGTCTAGGCTTTTAGGGCGCTTTGTGCCCCTCTTTTATTTCAATTGTGAACATTTTCTCTTTGTATACATAGTAAAACAAAAGCAAATAAAAGCCTAGCGGATTTTCTAAAAAATCTTGGATTTTTAAAATTTAATGGAAATCGATTTTGTTGGAGGCAAATTTTTTAAATTTTGATCATCCATGAACCTTCCCTGGGGTCATGTGAGGTCACACACAAAATTCGGGCCTGATCGGTTTATACATTTGAAGTTTATTAGATACAAACACCCTAACAGACAGAAAAGCAAAGTGTATACATATATCTATATAATAAAACAAGACATTCGTATATATATATGTTGCGTATAGCCGGCCAAACGGCTGGACCGAATGGGGTGACATTTTTTGTGTTATAGGCTAAAAAATCGAAATTTTTTTTTCTCGAATTTAAAAAAATTAATTTTTCCACGGGCAACGCCGGGCCCTTCAGCTAGTATATAGAAATAAGATTGTATATATAGATATTATAGAACAATCTGTCCCAATTAGAGCGATTTGTAGACAATTAATTGTGATTAAAAACTCAAAAATCGTGGTTTTATTTGTATTTATAACAAGTGCTCCATCCTTTTCTCATTAACATTTTCAGTTTTAGTTAAAAATTGGAGTTTTATTTGTATTTTAAAACAAGTCAACAATCCTTTTAACAATAAAATTTATAGTTTTAGTTGAAATGACCATGGTTCTAATAAATGTGCATTTTCCTGTCTAACTTAGTGCGCTCAGGAGAAAAGAATTTAAAATGTTAATCCACACGCGGAACATGCTGTCTACCTTAACCAAGTATGTCCTAGCTGTATCTATCTAATCTAAGTATGTCCTAGCTGTATCTATCTAATCTAAGTATGTCATAGCTGTATCTATCTAATCTAAGTATGTCCTAGCTGTATCTATCTAATCTGAGTATGTCCTGGCTGTATCTATCTAATCTAAGTATGTCCTGGCTGTTTCTATCTAATCTGAGTATGTCCTAGCTGTATCTATCTAATTTAAGTATGTCCTAGCTGTATCTATCTAATCTAAGTATGTCTTAGCTGTATCTATCTTATCTAAGTATGTCCTGGCTGTATCTATCTAATCTAAGTATCTCCTAGCTGTATCTATCTAATCTGAGTATGTCCTGGTTGTATTTATCTAATCTTAGTTTGTTCCAGCTGTATCTATCTAATCTAAGTATGTCCTAGCTGTATCTATCTAATCTAAGTATGTCCTGGCTGTATTTATCTAATCTTAGTTTGATCCAGCTGTATCTATCTAATCTAAGTATGTCCTAGCTGTATCTATCTAATCTAAGTATGTCCTAGCTGTATCTATCTAATCTAAGTATGTCCTAGCTGTATCTATCTAATCTAAGTATTTCCTAGCTGTATCTATCTTATCTTAGTATGTCCTAGCTGTATCTATCTTATCTAAGTATGTCCTTGCTGTATCTATCTTATCTAAGTATGTTCTTTATATCGTTTTTAAACAAATCCCAACCCTACTCTCCAGCACTAGAATTATATCATTTTCTGCTCAATATATTTCGCCAAAAACTTTGGCATCATCAGGAGTTCGTCCTATAATATAACAGATATAAGCAAAAAATAAAAATAAATAATACAAACAATGCAACTCAAATAAACAAAGAAGAGAACAAAAATAAAAAATCTTTTTATGTAATAAGGAATTTTTCAAAATTAATATTGTCAAAACACAAAACTTAAAAGAAAAATTAGAAAACCGTAACTTACTCTTTTGAAGAGTATTGAATGACTGGAAAAGGATTGACTAGTTTATGAGCGTATGCAGTGGGGGGAAGGGGGGTGTTGAAGGGGGTAGATTTCGTCGACAAAACGGTGAAATACATGAATTCAATCAAAACTATAAGGTACTGTTGGTAATACATATACATACAGTTTAAAACAAACAAAATTCATTTTTTTAAAGTTTGCAATTAGCATTATGTTTTCTTGTTCAGTCCTGACCTCACTGAGTTAAATTTCCGGATGTAGTATGACTCCCTGACCTTCCTGACCATGCTATCCCTGGACCTGATCTTCTCTATGGGAATGAAGGATAAATCTGCATAGGAGTGGCCAGGGGCACGAAAGTGAACACCTACAGGGGCCTAGGTATTTTCTTGTCCTATCTGTGTAATGGGGCCTCTGAGACCCCTCAGCCTTTCTTTAGGCTCCTTCCCTTTCTCTCCTATATATTGAGGATGGGAAGGACAAACTCGGCCTCCTCTCATGTATATAATATTTGAGGAGGAGCAGGTCAGCTTATCCTTAATCCTCATCTTTTCTCCAGTAGCAGAGATTATCACCTCTTCAACAGTATTCTTTCCCATCTGTTCACATACAAGGGAGCGAGATTTATTACAGGGTTTAAACCCAACCTTATCTCTTTTTTCCCTTGTGAATCTCTGTCTACTTGGAAGTTTAGACTTAACCAAGAGATCCTTCAAATTCTCCACTCTAGAGGGGTAGATTTTCTTCATTACTGGATCTTCTATTAGAATCTTCCAGGATGATCTTAGAGTTTCAGAGAACCTAGGCAGTCTAGGGTCATATTTGACAATAAACCTGGTTCTATCATTCTCTACCCTGCTACTCACAACCTTCTTCAGTGCCTGCTCTCTTTTTATCTTCCTCACATCCATGAAGGAAGATTTAATGGATCTTCTCCTGTATCCTCTCTCAACCAAATCTTCTTCCAGTTCTTCTAGTCTTTTCTCTAATAACTCTTCACTCCAGCAGATTCTGAGTGCTCTGTATCCCAGAGAGAACGGTATATTCTTAGTTATATGGTTAGGATGACAGCTGGAAGGAAGAAGATAGTTATTCTTCTTGTTTTCCTTCTTGTATAGATCTGTACGTATATAACCTTGGTCATCAATAAATATCTTCATATCTAAATAATTCACAGACCTGGTCTCATAACTATATTCAGCTGTCAACTTGATGTTTGGAAAAATAGAGTTTACATAGATAATGAACTTTTCCAACTCCTCTCTAGATCCAAGCCAGAGAAAAAACAAGTCATCAATAAATCTTCTGTAAAACTCTAATGCAGTTCCAGCTGTTCCCTTCCTCTGTAAATACAGCTTGTCTCTAAATTCAAAAATATTAGAACCCAGGACAACTGTCATTAATCTGTTGAGGAAGTCTGTCCGTACTGATTTATCTGATCTCCTCTCTCCTGCAGCTTGAAGAGCAACCAGTCCTTCTTCCCAAGGAACATTAGGATACAAAGCTACAACATCCATGGATACAGGAATAGCATGAGGAGGTAGAGGTCCCAAATCATTTCTCTTTTCTATTTCTCTCAACAAATCTGGTGTATCTTCAATATAGCTTGGAAGTTTCTTTACCTCTGCCTTCAGATGATGATCAACAAATGCTGACAAAAACTCTGTATTAGAGCCAGACCCGGACCAGACCTCTCTCAAGGGAGGTAAATTTGAACTGGTTTCAACAGCTTTATGATCTTTTACAAGACCATAAAGTTTACCTGGAGTAGGTTTATCTGGAACCATGAGAATAGCATCCTTCTGCGAGATATATTCTTCTCTTACTCCCTCACTCACCAGATCCCTCACAATCTCCCAATCCCTCTTCAAACGGTCCTCCTTCACCTCAATGTATTTGGGAACCTGGTTTCCAGTTTTATCTAAGTAAGTCTCACCAAGCTTGTTTTCCATCACTTTTGCATATGGATCATAATCCAGAACACATACTCCTCCAGTTTTATCTGAGGGTTTTATGATTATCTCACACTCCTTTTGTTTACGCTGCAATGATCTAATAGCAACACATTGTTCTTTAAATTCTTTAAATAGCTGAAACTATCTAATCTAAGAAGTATGTCCCAGCTGTATCTATCTAATCTAAGTATGTCCTAGCTGTATCTATCTAATCTAAGTATGTCCTAGCTGTATCTATCTAATCTAAGTATGTCTGTTTCGCTACTTAGCGATTTCCCTAAAGACCTAATATATATACTAACTCACTGAGCTGTAGTTAGAGCAAAGTTTCAATTTCTTTCGGTTCATCTTTCTGTTCTCTCTTTTTCTCTTATTTCTGCTAACAAAGCTCCTAGAACTGTGTTGTGATGAAAAAGTAGATAAACTGCTGGTACCTGATGTATTGATTTCTGGAGGTACTTCTTTGTCAGATTTCACTATTCCAGGGTGGGCTTAGCTTACATTCGTCATGCTTAATTTTGCAAAGTTACTTTTATTTTGTAGCATGGTAGTAGGGCGTCTCTAACAGTCTGATTTGATTTAGACATTGAATATACACACGTTGATTCAGTTTTTACATTCGTCTAAATCGATCGAAACATAACATTTCTTTAACTGGAATCCCAATTTTTTCCGAACTAATAAAATAATTTCACGAACTGAAGATCATTATTCAATATTAAAGCTAGGAATATAATCAAACTAATATATAAAATATTTTTTTTGGAGAGAAGCTCTTTAATATTAGCATTCTATATTAAGAGACGTTCAAATAAATAAAAATTAAAAGTGAATTGCATTTTAAACTATGTTCCGTATATTTAGAGAGATCCAAGACTATGATGAGATGGTTCAGCTTGTACAAGAATTGAAGACTATATCTAATAGAAGAGAATACACTCATAATCCGGCAATCATTTTCCTTTATGCTTTTGCACTCAACAGGTATGTACTAAAGCTTCATTTTATATTCTATTTTACGAGGGTATCGACAAAAGATGGACTTCAGAGACGATTTTACGGAATTTTTTCTTCTTTTTTTATTCCTTAATAGTGCCTTGACAAATTTCATTGTTTGTGCATCTGTATTCTTTAAAGGAAATATTAAGATAAAATGTAAGGGGATATACAAATTTTACGAGTTGATCACGACCAATATTAGTTCTATCTGATGACCCTTTCTCGAGAAATTAAGATAAAACTGTGTCAAAGTTATACTAAAACTCATATATGTGATATGGCCGACGGAGACACATTCTGGACACGTGATACAGACGTAACACTTATATTATGTACCTAAATATTTGGGAACCTCTGGGTTATCCAAATTTTCAAAATTGTTCCGTATTTGCTGAATATGACTTGTTTAAAACTTTGATTCAAATACTATATTACATATATATGAGAGAAACGTGAAGACTAACCGTTTCTTTCATGGTTATTTCATGTTGTTGTGATCATTAAAATAATTGATAAAATTGTTTCATCATTGTTCCCTTCCTTAACAACTATTTGAAGCAAGTTTGCAGTGAAACCAACTTAACTTCAACGGGTCATATAAACATATAAACTTTAACAAACTCGGGGCTAGGTTCAAATCTATGCATTTCATAACGTTTATTCAATCTTTGTATTTATTATTTACTTGTTTTAGACGTCATAAAGAGGGAGACAGAGAGAAAGCTTATCAAGTAATAACTAAGGCTCTTACTAAGAAAGAGAATGAGGTTGGTTTTACTTATATATATATATGAAGACGATTGATTTACTGATAGATTAAAGGGTTAATAGATTGATTGATTTGGGTTGATGAAAAGATTGAGTAATGAGTTATAATTGATTAAGCATTGAGTGATTGATTGATTAATTGATTGGTTGATGGATTAGTTGATAAAATAGTTGGTTGATATGGTGTATTATGATATACTGACAGAGAAGAAATTCTGCGCCAGTAGATTTTTCGAAGTGTATTATTTATACAATAACTTAATTGATGATGGATTGATGTACAGATTGATATATTGATTGAAGAATTAATCTATGTATTGATTGATGAATTAATCTATGTATTGATTGATGTATTGATTGATGTACTGATTGATATACTGATTGATGTAACTGATTGACTGATGAATTGATCAATTGATGGGCTTACTAGTTAACCGATTGAGTGATGTACTTAGGAATTGATTGAAGAATAGACTATATGGATCGATTGATTGAATGAGCTATTGCTCTAGGTTCCTGATATAATCTGTCTGTGCGGACGGATATGTAAGGATAAGTTTGTTGAGAGTGATTGCTCGGATAAGGAGATGCTGGATCAAGTAAGAATACTTGATTTTACTTATTTTCTTTAGAATACTTATCAATACTTTCTCACTCATTATTGAACAGGGTGGAGGGGGGCTTGGAATGTTTATTTAAGGATTAGGGACTTGGATGAATAAGGTACACTTCTAATCAGAAAGACATGAAATTCATTAACATTAATCAGACGACTTTACAATCTATTATTATCTAAATTATGATTGATGAAACGATAATCACAAAATAGCCTTAGTCCTGCAATTTCCAAAATGTGGTCTGCCTTTTTTGAGCATTTCAAATTGCTTGAGATAAGGGAGTAAGGAGGAATAAGGGAGCGAGGATGATTATATAAGTAATGGAGTTAGAAATAAAAAGAATACGTATTTACCCACCATACAATTTTTTATAATTTAGATTTTTATGAATTAAGATTAAAAGTCTTATAATAATTATTGTGTAGGCTGTACGATGGTATCGTAAAGGATTTGAGGTTCAACCGAATGAATACGCCGGGATCAACCTGGCTACACTTCTCGTCGTGTCAGGGCAGGTAACAATAATGGAGCAGATCAAAAGACATTTGGAATTTATTATCAACTAGCTTGGGAACACAGCGTGGACTAGGGGAGCTTAGTTAGTCTGCCGTTTACCCGCCCTTTGTCGCAAATTACGATTTTCGCTATCTTTCCCGATAAAAGTCGGCCTACTTAACTTTGAATCTTATTTCCGTGGCTCACCCGAGTTTTCCAATTCAAATTTTGAGGCAAATCGGTTAAGGGGACCCGAGTTATGATCTGACAGATACTTAATCATCTTGAAATAACTTGGAATTTTTAAAACACATGAAAACAACAAAAGAAATCTCGAACGTGGAAAAAGTGGATTTTTTTAGTTTTTTTTCACCTCAAATGGGTCAAGCTGTTTGGCCAGCTATAGCTAACATACTTTTTGAGCAAAGAGCTTTAAAATTTAGATATGATGACATTTCTCTCATCTCCATTCTTCAATAGGATTTCGGAAGTAGTCCTGAGCTGCAGAGGATTGGGATGGTGCTAAACAATCTGATTGGAAAGAAGGGAAGTTTAAACTCTTTAGAGGATTATTGGGATGTTGCAACTTTCTTCGAGATCTCAGTTCTAGCAGAGGACTACAGCAAAGCTGTCCAGGTAGCGTTCAACCTCAATTCCTTAGCTTTAAAAAATTTTTTCACTTATTTCAAATTTTTTTTCATATCTTTTTTGTTCATTTAAATTGCATATTCGATGAAATATGGTCCAAAAATACATAAAAGAACAACATAATAAGAATTCAAAAATTATAAAACGCCTTATAATTCCTGGAATACTAATAATTTGAATGTCAACTAAATTGCAAGGAAATGTCTTCCAAAATCATCTGATAAAATTAATTTATTCAGCTAGAAGTACATATCGAAAAGTTAAAATAATTGTTTGCTAACATTATATTACAGTAGTATTAAGTTTCAAGAAGTTTACTGAAATTACTGAATAATTTTGTCAAGGCTAGTGAGTGTATGTTTAAGCTGAAGCCCCCCAATTGGTATCTCAAATCTACAATCGGAAATATAACTCTTATTAAAAGGTCAGATTTTTCATTTATTTTTTATCTTTCATTCATCCTTTGTTAAAATCATTTGCTAGTTATTTCGCAATTTTTTTGTTCATATCCATGAATTCAAATATATTTATTTATTTAATTTTTTATTTATTTATTTACTTATTCTTAATTCAATCATTCTTTTTTGTTTGTTTACTTGTTCATTTGTGATTTCATGAATTCTTCTTTCTTTTATTTATTTATGTAGATTAATTCTTTTAACATTAAAATTTTATATGTTTTAAAACACTTTGTATTAATAGTTCACTTAAACACTCACTCGAATTTTAAGTTAGTTCACATATTAACACTCACTGTCTTACTTTCCCAAGGAATTTACTTATTCACGTACACCGGCTTAACTACTCATTTGCTTAATTACTTACGTATTTACTAACTCACTAGTGTTTAACTCGCTCACTTACTAAATCGCTTACTCACTTATCCATGGTTAAAGATGACAAATTTTGCCTCAAAAAAAAATTCTTCGTGAAAATGCGGAAATTATAAAAAGAAAAATCCAGGTTCCGTCGAAAGAACGAGCAGAACTTGTCTGCTGAGGAGAAGATGTTTAACTTCTGGATAGAATATTTCGACGACGCGACGAAGGAGGAGACGGGGGAGAATATCATGTTTCCAATTCTCATCTGGGAACCAACAAAGGTGAACTGATTAATCACTGAACATGAAATATAATTTATTTTTTTCTTTAGTTTTGTTGTGTCTGCGCTTTACTCTGTTTAATACTATAAAATTGGGGGCTCATCATTTTTGATATGGATCGATTTTGTAAATCTTATTTTATATATAAATGTTGATCCTCGGATTTTTATTATGATCAGCTTTATTTATTTTATTTATTTGATTGATCAAGTGCTCGATCTGTGATAAAAACTTCAGAGTCTTGCTTAGCGATATCGTCTTTACCAAGAGCAAATTTACACGGCTTCTTGTTGGTTGGAATATTAAGATATCTGTATGGTATCTAGATACCCTGTGTTTTTATATTTCGAGTTCCTCATTATTATTAATATTATTGTTCTTGTACTGGTTCTGGTTCTGGTTCTGGTTCTGGTTCTTGTTATTGTTATTGTTATTGTTATTGTTATTGTTATTGTTATTGTTATTGTTATTGTTATTGTTATTGTCATTATTAAACTAGGTGTATATGCCAAGCTACGTAAAGGTGAACAAGGACGCGGAGGAGAAGTCGATTACGATTGAGAATCTGTGCATCAAGTGTCTTAAGAATGATTCTGCCTGTAAACAGGTAAGAGTCACTATTTTCCATACAGGGGAGTTTTCATGACATTTTTGATTTTTCCAGGTGGGAGAGAGGGGGGGGGGGTTTGCCTGTTTCCATTTTCCAGATCATTGGGTCCAGGAACTTTCCAACTTTTTGGCCCCCGCCCTACACTTATCTCTTAAATGGATATTTCGCTTTTCTGGAAATGCCCCCTGGACTTAAGACTTTGGAATTTGGGACGAGGATTTTCGAAATGGTGTCCACAATCCATATTTCTTTTTGTATAGGTTCATGAATGGTTGTTTACTGCCAGCATGATAAAGACTGTAACTACGTATAAGAGGGATGACAGGGTACTTTTCCTTTACGTTCATTCAGATGATTTCCAGATGAACTTTGCTAATAACAAGTGGAGACTCAGGTAACAAATTTTTATTAATTAAAAATTTAAACATCCAAATATGTACGTCAAAATTCACATTTGTTCTAAAATCTTGGCATTTATATTTCTCCTAATTCATGATATTAAGGATAATATTTTATAATCTTTCAAATATAAATTAAATTTTTTACAATATTTATATGATAGCAGATGAAAATATTTTGACATTTATATATTTCTTGTTCTTCTATTTCTTTTTGTTCGTACATCTTTCATCATATTTTGGCAAATTTTGAAAAAAAAAAATTTTGGGACATCCTAGCAATTGCTGAGCTCCTATGTAACCCTAGGTTGAGAGGCTCCTGCTTTTCTATTTTTCTGAACTCTGTTTTGTTATACAGATCAGGTTGGGTAGGGTGGGGGGAGGTCTCCAGCCCCATATTTTTTTTAACTGATAAGGGGGTTCTTCAATGGAGCAGGAGGGAAGGAGATAAGGAAGTTTGGAGAAGGAAGTGTGTGAGAGATTTCAGTTAGAAAAGGGGCGGGGCAGTGCACCCTGCTGTTTGGGCGGTCTGGGGGGTCCACAATGGGGCCTCTTGCAGATTTCACTTCCTTATGATTCCTTATAGCCCTGCTTTCCTTCGTTTTAAAGTCTTTCCGACTTAAGTGGAATTCAGGAAACCCATAACTGCATGGCTTATGCAAAATGGGGAGTTGAAAGCCTTTAAGCCCCATCAGAGTAGTCCAATTCTCACAGCCGGCCGAGAAAGAAACTGGTATCATTGTTCATGGCTTGTATACCTATGGTCTCATCAGTGGTTATACTTCTGTGTTCTTTCTTACAGATGTTGATCTAAGATAAGCTAAAGTTGGAGATTTTGTTTACTGTTTAAATCCTATGTTTTACTACTCCCCTGTAGGATAAGTCATGAACAACTCTATGCAGTGCTCTTCCACACTGTGAAGCCAGGAGCTACTATGAGCAGGTCCGATCCCTGCTGCAAGCAGAAAGCAACTGTCTTGTGATGGAACTAAAAAATCTTGTCTAGGTTATATAATCTTGTAATGGAACTAATGATCTTGTCTAGGTTCTGTAATCTTGTGATGTAACTAAATGATCTTGTTGTCTAGGTTCTATAATCTTGTAATGGAACTAAATGATCTTGTTGTCTAGGTCCTATAATATTGTGATGGAAATAAATGATCTTGTCTAGGTCCTATAATCTTGTGATGGAACTAAATGATCTTGTTGTCCAGGTTCTATAATCTTGTGATGGAACTGACTGCTGACCAAGAAGGAATGATCACAGATCTTGACAATGATCTAAACTCTGGTCCTATGCAGTTTGAGTATGAACTAGGTGAATATATTGATATTATGGACATCAAATTTACAATTTTTTAAAAAGGATTTTTGTTGGGTTTCGTTTTTTTCCTTTTTTTAAGTGTCTTTTAACAATCTTCTCCTTATATTGACTCTGACAGAACACAAAGCTTAAGCAATATTTCTAATCCTTTGTCAAGGAAGATTAGAATATTTTTAAATTGGTTCTTTTTAAACCAACTTGCACATTGTTGTAATGTGTGTGTTATAATTAAAAAAATTTAAACGTTTTTTATTTATTACGAAGACTAGCTCTTTGATTTGAATAAACATGAAATGTATTTTGTTTGGCTTTTCAACTTACGTTTTTTATTGTTGATATAGTAGTGGCAGAGGTTTAAAAGGTTGTGAAGACAATTCTGATTCAATTTTGTCGTTAAAAAAGACATCAACAGTACGTGCAGATGCTTAACAGGAATACTTAATTAAATTACTTTTAATATTAGATGAGAACGGTAAGAGTATAGTGCTAGGGAAAGGAACCTATGGAATAGTTTACGCAGCTAGGGATCTTTGCACTCAAATAAGGTAATATAAATAATTAATTTGAAAACATAATTTTCATCAACATTTTTTTCAATTTGCTTTATTGGTTTCTTGACTTCTTTTTTATGACAAATATATGTCCTGCTATGATTTTTCATATTTTATTGATAAATCGAAAAATGAAAGACTTAAAAAAAAAGTTATTAGCTTTTTAATTAACCAATCAGGGTTGCTGTGAAAGAGGTTCCTGAGAAGAATATTGGAGATGTCCAGCCCTTGCACGAGGAGATCAAACTCCATTCACAGCTTAGGCACAGGTAGGAGATAATGTCGTTGTCTTCTGAAGCTAGAATACATATCGTCTTTTGGCTATTTTTAGATTTACTTTACACTTCATGCTTTAAACCCACTTCCTCCTTTCTTCTGGGAAAAAATCAACTGTTTTTTTTTTCTCAAGACTTTAAATGATTTTATTGTGGCGGAAGACGATCCCTAGATTAGAGGAATCCAGCTGAACCAAATATTTCCATGTTGTCAAAAGTTTTTCCTAAGTTAACGAATAAACATTATTCTTTAAAACTTGTTCTTATTGAGGTAGCTAAATTATTTTATTTTATAATATATTACATTCTGCCAAATAAATCTTTGATGTGAAAAAAATGTACACACTGAAATTCCATCAGTTTTTATTGTCTAGGAACATTGTGCAGTATCTGGGGTCTCTCTCAGAGAGAGGATACTTCAAGATTATCATGGAACAGGTTCCAGGGGGTTCCTTGTCAGCTTTACTCAGGTAAATTCCCCCCACCCTCAGGTTCCAGGGGTTTCCTTGTCTGCCTTACTCAGGTAATTCCCCCCCCCCACCCCACTCTTAGTTTCCAGGGGGTTCCCTGTCAGCCTTACTCATGTAATAACCAGGTACCCTACCCTCTTCAATAAAGGAATTATAAAACCAACTTTATTTAAATCTTAAAGAGACTTAAGTGTGGGCGTTAATTATTCAAGTGATGTGCTTTTTAAAGATTTGAATTCCGGAGCTTCTAGATCTAAATTGGGTCCCTTGAAGGAGAATAGAGTGACAATATCCAACTATGTTTCTAGATCTAAATGGGGTCCCTTGAAGGAGAATAGAGGGATAATATCCAACTATGTTTCTAGATCTAAATAGGGTCCCTTGAAGCAGAATAGAGGGATAATATCCAATTATGTTTCTAGATCTAAATAGGGTCCCTTGAAGGAGAATAGAGGGATAATATCCAACTATGTTTCTAGATCTAAATTGGGTCCCTTGAAGGAGAATAGAGGGATAATATCCAACTATGTTTCTAGATCTAAATTGGGTCCCTTGAAGGAGAATAGAGGGACAATATCCAATTATGTTTCTAGATCTAAATGGGGTCCCTTGAAGCAGAATAGAGGGATAATATCCAACTATGTTTCTAGATCTAAATGGGGTCCCTTGAAGCAGAATAGAGGGACAATATCCAACTATGTTTCTAGATCTAAATGGGGTCCCTTGAAGGAGAACGAGGGGACTATTGCCTATTATACAAAACAAATCCTTGAAGGACTAAAATATCTTCATGATCAGAAGATTGTTCACAGAGATATCAAGGTAAGTAAGAATGTGTATTAAATGAGCAAATTTTATGATTCGTCCTTTTTTAAATTTACCTTAATTTTAATCTTAGATTTTTTAACTTACCGTAAAACTAATTCAATAATCACTTGGATACTTTTGGGGTTTGATGATATTACAAAAAAACAATTTGTCGAAATTCTTAATTTGATAATATTATGATCAATTGAATGTGATTTATTATCTTTTGATTGGTTTAATTCAATTTTATTTGGTATTATGTAGGGAGACAATGTTTTGGTGAACACCTACAGCGGAGTAGTTAAAATATCTGATTTTGGGACAAGTAAACGGTTAGCAGGGATATGTCCCAGCACCGAGACCTTTACTGGGACACTGCAGTACATGGCCCCAGAGGTAAAATTTTTATTTTTTAAGACATGTATAATATTGTACAATTTTTGTACACAATTGTACAATTCATGTACAGAAACAACAAAACGTACAGTAAATGTACTTAAAATGTACAATAAATGTTTAATAAATGTATAACAAATGTAAAATAAATGAACAATAAATGTACAATAAATATAAGATATATGTACATTACATGCACAGTATTTACAACATGTTTTCAATAAATGTGCAATGAAAATAAAATATATGCACATTACATGCACAGCATTGTACAACATGTGTATAATAAATGTACAATAAATATAAAATACATGCACATTACATGCACAGCATTGTACAACATGTGTACAATAAATGTACAATAAATATAAAATATATGCACATTACATGCACAGCATTGTACAACATGTGTACAATAAATGTGCATTGCATTGGTAAATGTTCAAGAACCTTTACATCTCATATTCCTGAATAATTTGTGTTAATTCACATCTGTTTTATATTTTTATCCAAAACTGTTGGTTTAGGTTATAGACAGGGGACAGCGTGGGTATGCGGCCCCTGCCGATATTTGGTCCCTGGGGTGTACTGTAGTAGAGATGGCAACAGGGAAACCTCCATTTATTGAACTAGGTGAGTGACATGAACAGTTTGTTGGAGAAGCTAATATCTTGGTTGTAGTGATTAAGTTGCTTGATGGTTGGTTGGATAATTGTATGGTTGGTTGGATAATTGGATGGTTGGTTAAATATTTAGATGGTTGGTTGGATAATTATACGGTTGTTTGGATGTTTAGATTTATTGATTGATTGATGACTGACTGACTGAATGACTTACTAATTCATTGATTGCTTGCTTAATAGACTTAATATATTGATTTATTGATTGATTTATTGATAAATAATTAATTGATTGATTAGGTACACCAGAGGCAGCTATGTTCAAAGTTGGATTCTACAAAGTCCCGCCTGAGATTCCTAATGTAAGTATTAAGCATTATTTTCAATATTCTGATACTAATTATTAATATTAATCTCATAATCATTTATTTTTTAAAAACAAATTTCCTTAATCATTTTCTATTGCTTTACTTGTTAACTTTTTAAATTTAGGAAATGTCTGAGACTGCTAAAAGTTTTATAATGCGCTGCTTTGAGCCGGATCCGGAGAAGAGAGCCAAAGCATCAGAGCTCCTTGAAGATCCGTTCATTACTGAGTAAGAACTCTGACATAATTGATTGTTCTAAACACCCTTATTTTGGAAGTTGTAAGACAATATTTTTATTTATCCTTTTATCTGTATGTGCATCTATCTATCTTGTTACGTCTTTCTCTATCTATCTATCTATCTATCTATCTATCTATCTATCTATCTATCTATCTATCTATCTATCTACCTATCTATATATCTATCTGTCTATTTATTAATTTATCTTTCTACGTGTCTATCTATCTATCTATCTATCTATCTATCTATCTATCTATCTATCTNAGTGGTGTAAACATTTGATATTTCAAACTTGAAATATTTTACTAAAATAATTCAAAGTTTGAAATCTACGACATCTAAGATAAAGGGGTTAAAATATCAGAGTTTGCGGCAAAAATATAATTCCTTTAATTGGAGAATTAAAATGTAGTTTAAAAGAAAAAATATCTTATGATAAAAAGAACTATTTAACAATATCTTTCCTTCAATAATGGAATATTTTAGGACTCTCGGATGCTTATTTACAAAGTTGTACGCGCGCCCATCCGCTCCCCCCCTAGTTTTGCCTCTGCTGCGGGCTGCAATGAAGGCCAAGCGCTGCGGTTTCTACATGCTAGTGGCAGAGCGCTGCGGATAGTACAGACTTGGGAAATTGCACAATTGGGAAGTTTCCACTTGGGAAAATACCCTCGGAAAGGTGTCATTTGGAAAAATGCCTTTGGGAAAGTATTTAACATCATCTTATCTAGTATGGGTAAAAGGAAGAAGATGAGTAAGCTGAATATGACTGGTGGAAGCCCTGTAGCTGAACTCTCTAGAAGTATATCAGCTCCTACAGACAGATTATCTAGGGGTATATCCAGGTTAGTTTGGCTTGTATATAAACTAGCTTGAGTGCCCAGCGTTACCCGTGGAAGTTAAAAAACGAAAGAAAAAACAAATTTTGAATTTTTTCAGCCTATGTTACCCCTCAGCCCATTCGGTCCAGCCGTTTGGCCAGCAATAGCTGATATATATAGATATACGAGCAAAAAGCTTTATTTAATTTTTCTTCAAATTATCAGCTCTTGCAAAATAAATACATATAGTACAGGGTTACCCTCAAAGGATGAAGTTGTAAAGACGACCTGAAACCTTTTCAATAAGACGTTTCCAGGAGTAAATTAAGTATGCTGCCATGAATGAATATGGTCTTTTTTTTCAATGGTAGGGACAAGAAAGAAAGTTTACAATTTCTTGGAATCCTTAATACAAGGAAACAGACAGTGTTAATACAAGGAAACAGACAGTGTTAATTCCGCACAGTCGTCCCTTAAGTCTCATCCTTTGTGTGATTTTCATTCGCTTAGATTTTTTATCTTTTTAGGATTGCCATGAGTGTTGAGACAGTGGATAGTGGGCTTATAGACTCCAGGTAGGAAGTCCAGACTGTTAAGGGATAGGTTACCTATACGCACAATTCTCCAAAGGAATTGAGTCTTTGCCACAAACTCTGATTTTCTAATCCCTGTATCTTAGGATTCCAACGTCGTAAACCTTTGACATTTCAAACTATGACTATTGTTAGATCAAAAAATAGAAGTTTGAAATATCAAAGGTTTACGACATTGGGTTCCTAAGATTTGGAATTTGAAAATCAGACTTTGTGGCAAAAACTTAATTCCTTTTTCTTAATCCAAAAAATGTGTTTATTTAAAAAAGGTGAAAACTGAATAAATCGATTAAAAGTTAACACGAAAAACAGGAAAACTAATAAATTATGAACTGTTCAACAAGAACAATAAATAATTATTTATATTTTCATGCAGAAAAGGATAAACCGTAAGTTAAATTATTTTAAACAATGCTTTATTGTTCATACTGTAATAATCTCTCATATATATGTTCTATATATACATGTGTAAAGTTTTAATCTCTGTTTGTCTGTCTGTCTGTTTTTTGTCCGATCTTAACTTAGAAACCCCTGGACCGATTAGCTTCAAATTGCCATTAGGGAAACACGAAGGACCTACGGGAATGTTCTTAGCTCGGTTTTGAGATTCTAAGTTCAGTGGGTCGACTTTAATAGCGATTATTAGTTTCCCGGTAAAATCGTTCGAGTGCGGGTAAACGGCGGGAGTAACTTTTAGTAACCTTGACAGCGCCATGGGTTCCCAAGCTAGTTTACACTATAAATCAACAAGTATATAACATACACATATATGAAAAAGTAAAAACGTATAAGACAGGCCGGTATTTTAATTTGGGGCCAGATATGCATAAGGTTACCAAGTTTTTGCTTGATAGGATATGGACATCTTTATGTTTTAAAAAAAGTGTTTTAGATTTGAAGATTTAAAGTCATTGGGAAAGCTTCGTAATCAAAATAATTCAGTAAGCCAAAAGGGTTTCACTGAAAAACATAACCATTAGAAATGTAATGAAAGTAGTTTTTATGGATACTTTTGATTTGATACATGCATCGCACGCTAAGAATTTTACAATATTTGATAGATATAAATCAAACTAAGTTCAGAGATATATCAGTTAAACTCTCACAAATTACAAAATTTTTTGTTTATAATTGAGAATAAAAAAAAACTACTTTTATTCTCCATCTGTACTTGGCTGTATAGTTAATACAAGTCTTAAAGGAGTGTTCGCGAAAAATGAAAGGGGGTATAGGCTTAATGCGATAAAAAAGCGCTTTTGAACGCTACTAAGAAGTATGAAAAAGCAANGGTTATGTATTTTTCGACCTACGCAAATCCGCTATACTTCACTTCTGACCTACGACAAATCCGCTATACTACACATCCGACCTACTAGCACGTGGTTTTACAGCTGCTAAATGGACTTGTAGCCGCAGCGCCCGGACCCCTAGCCTGTCCTAGTCCCAGCGCTCGGTCCCCTAGCCTGACCTAGCCGCAACGCTCGGCCCAGAAATTGTCTTAACCTAACCTAACCCGCAAATAATACAAAAATAAACAGCTGGCGTAGGTCCGATATTGCAGTAGGTCGGAAAGTTAGTAGGTCAGAAGTTTAGTAGGGGGGATGTTGCGTATAGACGATGTAACATTACCATTTGAAGGGATTGACGATAGTACCCTGAATTATTTTGTCCTAAACATTTGCCTAAACCGCTGTGGGTGTAAGGTACTCTCCCTAAGGCATTTTCCCAAGGGTGACTTTCCAAGTGACAATTTCCCAAGTGGCAACTTCCCAAATGTGCAATTTCTCAAGCGACAACTTCCCAAAGGTTAGGTTATGCCTCTGATGTGCCGCAGGGAGCCGAGCGCCGCGGCTAGACAGGGGGGGGGGGGCTAGCGCTGCGGCTTGGACAGACTTGGGAAGTTGCCGCTTGGGAAATTGCACATTTGGGAAGTTTTGCCACCTGGGAAAATACCATTCTGAAGTTGCCACTTGTGCATGGGGCATGTAACGCTTTTATTAAGAGTCACTTAAGATTAGGTCGACATGCTCTTTAAGAATATACCCAACTCACCCTTCTTTAAAAAGACTTAATAAGATCAGATAGGTAGACAAAGATAAAGGAATAAAGAATAAGAAAAATAGAAGAACTAAATCGAAAAAACAGGAAAATTAAGATATAAAAAGTCGCGCGTTTCCCACTCAGAAAACTTTCTCAAAAAAACTCTTTTTTAAAAAATCCGAAAGGATTAACACGGATAATAATTTAAAAGTTTAGTGTCTGAGAAATTTTTACAAAAAAAACACATTTTTTCCATCAAATCATTCTCAGATAGTAAACATAAATATTCTAAGCTTCTGGCCACTTTTTATCCAGATGAAAGGGAAGAACTGCAGTTATGACGTAAAAATGACGGAATATGCAAAGATTGCATTGATATTTCAAGATTCATAAAATTCTACGTCATTCTGTGAATTGATCTGCTTGTAGCCTGTCATTAACCAGCAAATTGAAGTTCTTTTAAGGAGGAAAATGAAACATAAATTACATTTTTTTAAGGAGTTTCATAATAAGGTTTGGAAGGTTTCGGGATTCATAATTGATCTAGTATTCTTAGTATTATTACAAGCAGATAAATAAATATTTTCTTGAAAAATCATAATATTTAATAGCATTTTCTAGGCTCATCCCTGATCAAAGTTGGAATCACTCAATCCAAATAGTTTGCGCTGAAAACATTATTTTTTAAACTTACTGATTCGTGCACGATCAAATCATGATATCCTCATTGCAAGTAATCTATCCATTCATTTATTCATCGATTCTTTTATTCATTGATTCGTTTATTCATTGATTCATTGATTCATTGATTCATTTATTCATTAATTCATTAATTCATTAATTCATTAATTCATTAATTCATTAATTCATTAATTCATTAATTCATTCATTCATTCATGCATGCATTCATGCTTTCATGCATTTATTCATCCTTTCATTGATTTATTGATTCAATGAATTATTGACTTATTGATCAACTCACTTAACTGATTCATTGATGTTTTTATCCATTAATTCAATTAAATAAATTTACGAAATTGATTTTATTGATTAAATTGATTCTATCTAGTCTTCATCCTAAAATTGATTCTATCTATGAAATATAAGCATTGTACCCCCTGCCTGACACATAAGCAGTCTACCCCCTGCCTGAAATAAACCTCTGTATATAAATGCAAGCAGTGTACACTTTACCCCCGTCCTGTGAAGTGTACCCCCTGTTTGAAATATAAGCATTATACCCCCTGCCTGACACAGAAGCAGTCTACCCCCTGCCTGAAATAAACCTCTGTATATAAATACAAGCAGTGTATCGCTCTACCTCCCACCGGTAGGACTCAGTGATGACGCAATCCTCTAGAATATACTCTAGTGTGTACGCACTTTAATACTCACACATGCGTAATTCATTTCCGTATTTCACAACCTTTATTACTAATACAGTGAATAATGATATAATGTGTTTAGTTAAACACCGTTAGTCTTAAATATGCCTATTAGGAAACTATTGAACTAATATGAATTTATTTATATTTTTAAGGTTGAATATAAGTTACAGGCTTTAGTATTGAAATCTATGCAGATTCCAAATTAAAGTCTAGTAATATGATTTTAGTTATTGAAGAATTACTGCGGATTTTTATTAAAATATCCTAAAATAGATAAATATCATACCTTCTGGGCTGTAACTAGTGAAAGATCAAAATTTTAAACTGCCCCCTCTCTCCACCCACAAAAAACTTTACAAAATTGAAATTTAGTAAATTAAAATGTTATTCCATTCATTGTGTTCAATAGAATTGATAATAGATCTCGACTTCAGAATACAGGACTAAAGCTTAAAATTCCTGTGCGGAATTCATCAAATTTTAATCCGTATACAAGTACTAGACACTCGTCTTCACCAAAGGGACGAGAGGGAAGTGATGGACGAGATGGGAGCACTGGACGACCACGCTGGCCTTCGAACAGTCCGGCCAGGACTAAAACAGTCAAGTTTGACGCATCAGTCGACAATCGTCCAGTTTGGGAGATGGAAACGGAAAAATCACCAAATTTTTCTGACGATTTTCGCGCCATTCCTATCCAAATAGTTCGAAACAAAACCACTGTGAATATCTTAGCTTGTGACAATTCAAACATAAAACCACCCTCCGGTGCGTCCCGACTTTTCATCCCGTCCAGTCGTCCAAGCTGGACGACAAGGCCACGGACTACCGGACGAACCTGTGAAAGTGAACCAAGTTCACCAATATTTGATCTCACCCCATCTCCAGTTCTACTGAGAAGTCGAGGCTCGAAAGCTCGATTAAAATCTCGAAATTTTGAGCGGAGGGACGAGGGAAGGATTGAGGATAAAGCTCTTCATCTTCTGGACTGGTTCCATAAACTTAGTCCTCAAATACAAAACCAACATAAAACCAAATCTAGGTTTAATTCTTCTTTCAAGGAATTTAAATTGACGTCACTTTCAATCTAAATCATAATCGCACCTGCAGTTCCTCTACTAGAAGGGGCGCGTCACCCCCCCCCTTTCTTTGAGCAACTTGACTGATTTACAATTATGAGTTTGCACTCCTTTAAAGTTAAATAAGTTCCACGGTCTAAAAAGTGAAATCTCATAACAATACAATACTAAAACGTGATTGTTTTCTATATTAAAACAAGGATTCTTGTCAATTTCAAAAAGTATTGGCGATAGTTAGTTCCAATTTATTCTGATGTGTTCGGTCAGCTTTGTTACAAGTTATTTAACTGTGATTGCCCAGGCCCGGTCCTCCTAGGAGTTTCTACCAATCTTTACAATATATATTTCTTTTTAAGTCTTTCCTTATACTATGAAGTAAAATTTATCCAAACCCAACGTCTTCTCCCTAATTCTATTACACCTAGGAAAGCAATGATATTTAGATAACAATTAAAACCTCGATTTCTTACAAATCATGACAAGTAGAGATGGACATTTTGTTTTGATCCATTTTTAAACATTAAAGATTTATTTTTTGAATTGCTCCACAAGATTCTGAAATTTATTTGCAAACATCTTACTATGACTAAAAATATGAACCAAAACAATTTTTAAGCAACAGTTTTGAAAAATCATTCAAGTTTATATCTTGGGTAAAAGTAAAAATAGTTGCATGGTGTATTGAAAGCATATTTTTAGAACATTACAATTTTGAATTATAAACATTTCAAATTTTTGCGGAGCCCTCTAAAAGTAAGAAAAAAAAAACCTTAATGTCTAAGAGAAACTTAAAAATATCTCTACTCACGTAATAGAAAAAAATTTGCTGTGGTAAACCGCAAAAAAAAATAGATTAATAAATATACGGTCACCAAAGCTTCTACTTAATTTTGATGGTGGTGGTGGGGGGGGGCTGGGTTTAATAGCCAATAATAACCCTCTCATCTAGATCCAAGTTTCTCCTAGTTCTGACTAAATGTTGATGAATTTATTTTATGTGAAACGGAAATTCCGAATAGCTTTGTAATTGTACCAAGAATTTGATCGATTTTTGAACAATTTTATTAGTCAGATAGAAAACTAGAGCTTTTCTTTCCAATTTTACCCAATTCTGCCAATTATATGAGTAGGGGTAAATATATAGTTAGATAGTAGGGGTAAATATATAGTTAGATAGTAGGGGTAAAAATAAAATAATACAATTCCGGATCATTTTTTAACAAGTAAGATGAAATCTTAAATAGATCCGTGGTATTCACGATTTGTTAAACGAGTTTTATTTTATTGTTGTTAGGCATAAGACATGGTCTTTTTATGCATAGCAAATTTAAAAAATTGATAAATCATAACCTTCTGACATACAAATGCATTGTATAACTTTAATACTATTTTTGACTAAGAGCGATAAGACTGAATTAACAGGTTTTCCTCTTTTTCTGTTTTTAGTACATCAATTCAATTTAATTAGATTAGATTTTTTCACCCAAAACTAGTCTTTAAACCGTGTAAAATTTCGTCAACTTCAGTATCTTAATCCGACAAATCAACTTTTTCCATTGGAATACACCCTTCTCAATTTAAAAGGGGTATTTCCATCCCCCCCTCACCATATAAGCTACAAAAAGGACATTTAAACCGTTATTTGATCAATAATGTGACAGATATTGTAGTTTTCTTGCTTGAAAAGTGTAATTCTAAAAGTTCGCAAGTTTCTTTCAATAAGAACCCAGAATTAAGTTAAAACATGGAAATATTATTTATTTAAAGCCTTTAACGGTACCAATGTGAATCGGAAATGTCACACTATTTTTGGAGGATCACTAGAAAAACGTCTATAGTCCTCTTAAGTCTTTGTTTCAATATTACCGTTAAATCTAAAAATAATGTGAAGTGTCTGAGTTCCTCCTGCAGCTGCAGCAAATATTCCGCTAATTCAAAGTTTTCATGTTCAACTTCAAGGTTGGCTTTATTCAAGGACAAACAAATTGTCAAGGGCAACTTTTGTCTTTAGTAGCAAAAAGTTTCATCAGGACAAATAATTCAAGAGGAAGACTTAATTTTTAGTTACCCTCTATTTGAAGGGAGGTGTATTTTTCGAACTACGCAAATCCGCTATACTACACATCCGACCTACTAGCACGTGGTTTTACAGCTGCTAAATGGCCGCAGCACCCGGCCCCCTAGCCTGTCCTAGCCGCAGCGCTCGGCCCCCTAGCCTGACCTAGCCGCAGCGCTCGGCCCAGAAATTGTCTTAACCTAACCTAACCCTCATCTTTGTTTTGAAATGTAAACAATTCGAACATGTTCCTAATTTAAATAGAAGATGGGCGCGAAGCGCCCTAAAAGCCTAGAAAGAAGGGCGCGAAGCGCCTTGAATTTCTAGTACAATAGAAAGCTAAAAAAGAAATGAGAAAACAAGAATTAAACTTACAGTGAAACCAAACATATAATTCCAATTCAAACATTTCAAAAAAGGTAATACCAGCATTTCATCATTTTATGTTGCTAAATATCATAAATAAATTAAAGGGAGTGGGGGGAGGGGTGCATACAGTTTTTGGTGTAGAGCAACCTTTGCACTTTTGAATTTAGAATAAAAATGATTTCATTATTTATTTATCTCTGAAAAGTCGAAACCTTATCTTTGGGATTGACAGTAAAACAGACTTGATGAAATACACTCTACATACAATAAACATTCAGCTAAGACTTTTTTTTAATTGAAAAAAGTTTATTCAAGATAATTTGCCTTTGCCACGAACTCTGACTTTATACGATCATAATCCCTAAATCTTTGCCACACAATTTCGTAGAACTAAGATATTTCAAATTATGAATTACTCTTAGATCAAATTATCGAAGTTTGAAGTATTTTAGGTTCACGCCATCAGTGTGGAAAATACTAGGGATGTGAAAGTTAGCAAGGAATCAATTCTATTAGTTGAATAAAAGTTAGTTTGATATAATTTTTATTGAAAAAAAGTGAGTTAGAAAGATAAATAAGTTATACAGTTTACATTGAGCTAAGCAGCATATTTCGTTATTCATGATTAAATTTTATTATCAATCAAACATTAAGTAAATAAGGTAGCAAGTGAACTTTGTCCTGTGTATTAAGAATTCCTTTACAAGGTGTACCGAAAACTCTACAGTTTGTACTTGCTTGTAAATGCTATTATTTTTTTTTACTGCACTAACTTATACACATATTTAATATGTACTGTATTGACGTTAAGAATATGTAATTGTACATTATTATTAAAACCCCGTTTTTTTACTACTTTCTAAAACACACAATTTTAGTTTGTTATCTCCAGTTTAAATATTTGCGTTTATTGTTTACATATAAAGAAAAACATTGTTTGTTTTTTATAATTTTTAAAATAATTTTATAATGATTTTAGTTATCATTATCATTATTATATGATCTTATTATTATTATTATTATTATCAACATTATCAATGATATTATTGTTTTTATTATTATTTTTATTATTATAATTATGACTAGTTCTGTGCTGACTGGAGGAACTAGTGACAGTTCTATATTGTCTCCTACTGAAAACTCTTTACTGGAGAATCCTCTGAGTTTTGCAAACTCCAGGAGGGATTCAGGAGGCGCTCTTCAGTCTCCAGGTACACCTTTTCCTGCTTACCTTTCTACTTCTTCCTCTTAACCTACTTTACCATTCATACAACTCAATTTTTTTTGTAATCTTCATTCTTCTTCTCTTTCTTCTTTTTTTCTTTTGATTCCTTCTTGTTTCTTTTCTTCTACTTATCCAGGTTCTTCTTTTTCTTCTTCTTTTCTTCCCCCTTTCTGCAACTTGTTCTCATTTGCTTTTATGCTCCTCTTTCCTCTCCTCTTCTACTTTTTTTTTAGTCTTTACTTCTTTGGGTACAGTTACAGCAATTTTGTATGTAGTATTTGCATGTATTCATGTGCAGGGCCGTAAATGGGGGGGGGGAGTTAAGTACCTCGGGTCAAATTTTAGTTTAAATAAGAACTTGTGTAAGATGGGTTTGGCCCCCCACCCTCCACACAAAAACATTCGTTATATACCTGACTTCCTGTTTGTTCTAGATGTTCTTGACTCTCCTAAAGAAGACGGGTTCTATCTACTGAAGAAGGACTCCCAGAGAAGGGAAACCCTGGTCAAGGTTCTAAGACAGGATAAGAATAATATCTGCTCCACCTGGTATTCTCTTATGCTCAAGGTAAACTCAACTACACACACATTTAAAGGGACTGCCCTTGTAATTTAAAGTAACCTTCAATTTAAAGACGGTCATAGTCGATTCACAACGATTGCCCTTAAACGTTATCTGACCTTTAATGTGGAAGATAACATCGTTTTTCTAGTCTGATAAGTATTTAATTTGGAAAATTTACTCTATTCCAAAATACCCTTACACATAAAAGATGAAATAGTGTTTACTTAAAAAACTGATTTTTTTTTTGTTAATATCTGGATCAAGAGTTGATTTCCCTCTTGTGCAGATCTTGGGATTTATTTAATTAATAACAATATCAACACAAAAATTCCGATCTCAGGTGCCTGAATATTGTAGGATGTATCTGACTGTTGTTTGACAGTATCTCACCTGAGCACCCTGATGGAAGGGTTGAGAGGTTACCTCCCGGAGCAGAACAGAGAGGTCCTGGAGTCAGTTCTAGCTAAACTCAAGGTAGGAAGGAACATTTCACTCTGAAAATATAGGAAATTTTTCTGAGCTCTGAACACTTAACACTGCAATGAATACTGAATACTGAACACTGAACACTGAACACTGAACACTGAACACTGAACACTGAAACCTCAACACTGAAAACTCAATAATGACAACTGAGCAATGAACACTGAACCAGTAAACCACTGAACGCTGAATCACTGAACGCTGAAAATTGTCTATTTAAAACTGAACCAATGAAAACCGGAACACAGAACTCTGAATACTGAACACTGAACACTGAACACTGAACACTGAACACTGAAACTAAGAAACACTGAATCACTGAAACACAAAGACGGACACTAAAGCATGGACACAAAAACATGGACACAAAAACACGGACACAAAAACATGTACACAAAATCACGGAGACAAAAACACGAAACATAAAACACTGAACTCTTAACATTATTTAACAAAAATTGTTGTAAACAAAGTATGTATAACTTACGAATTCAAAGCAGAAGCAGAAAGATAAATGCTTATATTATAACACTATGTCATGATGACACTGAAACTTCAGTTAATTGTTTACTCTTGTCAGAAGCAGACTTATATTTCATGTTATATCAAACAAAACTAAAAATTTAAATAATTAACTTTTTGACTTTTATTATAATTTTTTTTCTTTTTATAATAAAATACAAACCCGACACAAAAAAGTTTATGTAAGAAATGTTAAAATACTTGCAGTTTGAATTCATTAAAAGTATATATCTAGCATTAGTATCTAGTATAGACCCTTATTCACAAAACTAAAGTTAATAGAATAGAATGATCTTTATATTATTTGTGATGGAACCAAAATAAAATGTTGCTTATTTGATTTGAATTTAAGATAAGTCAGGTTATACTGGGACAGTGATCAAATGAATTATGATGCAGAGAAAATCAAATTGATATTAAATGACTAAAATTCCAAATGAATTGAATTCTGACTGAGATCATGTATTGATTGAAAGATATAAAGAATAGATTTTAATTATATTATGGAACCAAATCAAGTGTTGATTGATTGATTTAAAGTTTGGAGCTAAGATCACATATTAATAGGATTATAATTCAGGATGAATTGGATTATGATGGAGCGAAGATAAACCATCTGCATCTTGCTCTTTATAACTTCCAGGTAAAAATCAGCTGTTATATTTTCACTAAAAATATTTTCATTCTGTTGGACAAAAATTTGAAAATAGAATTTCCTCTTATGGCCATCTCAACATGACATTTGACCCAATAGATAAAACTAGTGTACCTAGTTCGACTACCTTTCCCTATACCTGAATACACAAGTGTGGATACTTAAAATATAGGTAAAATATTTAAATCTAAGAATAAATCTAAGAATATATTTTGATTAAGGATGCAGTGAATGCTGTTCTACGAATGCATAGCATTAAACCACACTGGATGTTTGCACTGGACAATCTTGTGCGAGCAGCTGTTCAAGCTGCTATTCTAGTTCTATCCCCTGAACTTGGAGCTCATCTAGCCGATCAAGGTAAGCTGCTAAACTAGATAAGAGCAGCTGAAAATGCTGCTATCATAGATCCATCTCCTGAACTAGGAACTCATCTAGCAGATCAAGGTAAGCTGCTAAACTAGATAAGAGCAGCTGAAAATGCTGCTATTATAGATCTATATCCTGAACTGGGAACTCATCTAGGAGATCAAGGTAAGCTGCTAACCTACGTAGGTTAGAACAGCTGTACAAGAAGCGAAACTTTTTGAAATGGGTAAAAAGCTGGTAATCTAGTCAGAACTTCTTTACAATCTGTTAGGCTGGTTAGAACAAGCGTAGCAGCTGCTTAACTAGTTTAGAACATTTTGTGTGTAAGCTACTGAACTAGTTAGAACTAGTGTATTAGCTGCTTAACTAGTTAGAACTAATGTATTTGCTGCTAAACTAGTTAGAACTAGTGTACTAGCTGCTAAACTAGTTAGAACTAACTTCAAACTGCTTAATTAGTTAGAAAACTAGTGTGGCAGCTGCTAGACTAGTTAGAACTAGTGTTCAAGCTGCTAAACTAGAAAAAACTAGTGTACAAGATGCTAATCTAGCTATAATTAGTATACAAGCTGCTAGTCTAGCTATAGTTAGTGTACTAGCTGCTAGTCTAGCTATAGTTAGTGTAGTTAGTGTAAAAGCTGCTAATATAGTCGCTGTACAAGCCATATCTCTTAATCTATCCCTTGAGTAGGAGCTCCTGTTCTTGAGCCTCCTGTCTATGATCCACATCCTGCTCCGCCTGAGGTTCCTGTATTAGATGCTGAAGGTTGTTCTACTAGTGGAGTATCCACTGTTAACTCAGGATTTCAGGTGGGTCAAAATTTATCAACAAACATCTTTATACCCTCTAGGACCTGATTTGATAAATAGGGAGTAGTAGCTTAACCGCGCAGACGTAGTTCAACCACTTCTTTTGTGCTCCAGTTCAATTTGAATAGAAGGGTTTTTCTTTTATTGAACTATCTAAAGATTAAAGGATGAACGCTATATTTTCAAAAATATATTTATTTTACCTAAATTTATTTAGCATTTAATTAAGATTTTTCAATAGAGGAAATGTTTTTTGAAAAAAGTTCATTGTTGCTTAAAAAGATGTTATTTTTATATTATTGTTAATCTTGATAATCTATCTATATATTATATACAGGAATCTGCTCAACCATCTGCTATGTTAACCTCATTAAGCAGATTAAGGGAGGAGAACAGACATCTGCTAGGAGATCTGCTTCAAGCACAGCACAGCTACCAGGTACAAATACTTAGAAGTAAATCCAATCCAAATCATATCAAATATTTTTCATACATTTACAATTGACAAAGGAACATTACACTGGTCGCATACTGAGTCTGTAATTGGGTTATATCAAGGTTTAGTAATCTGTAATTGTGACTGATGTCTATTGTGGCACAATTTTCTATATTCTGAAGAAAAGGTATAGAACAAGCTATAAGACCCTAGTTCTTTACTGATTTAATACAGTCACTTTAGTTTTGGGACATTGTAGTATGGCATCCCTAAAATATTAAAACATAAAAACTGATTCCTAAAGTTGAAAAATATGCAGGAGCTGCTGAGACAAAGCTTAGCTGAGCAGAAGCTTCATCTGCAGCTGCTGAGTCAGAGTTTAGCTGCTTCTAGTTTAGCTGTGAAGGAGAAGCACAGATTACCAGGACACAGCAGTCAGGTTAGATACATAGGGTCAACCTGGCACCATCAATTCTTAATGATGTTTCAGGGTCCAAGAGATATAGAAGTTTTTTTTGTTTCAAGTGATTAGAGTGGCATTTTCTTTTTGAAAATTTAATAGTCCTAGCACCTTAATTTGATGTAAAAAATTATGTTACTTTAAAGAAAACCTTTTATATGAATAATCTGGATTAAAGAATAATTATTATATATTTAGATGCATCAGGAAGACGATAATGAGATGTCAACCTCCCATCAGGTAATTCTTCTAATACCTTGTTTGAAAAATGTGAACAAAATATACAAAATAATAGATTAATAAAAAGTGTAAAAGGTTGAAACTGCTCGGTTTAGTCATCATGTTCTGTTGGTATTCACCAATAAGCATCAAAACTGCTGAACCGATCGGGCCCAAATTTGTGTGGCATCTCACAGAAAGGTGTTACAAATGGTCCTAAAAAATAGTGACTGGAATAAAATTCCAATATTTATTGTTTTTGAAATACCGCCAAATTTAACGAGCAAGTCCGCAAATATTTTTTTAAAGAACGAAGCAAAGCAACATTTAATAGCTAAAATGTTTAATAGAAAAGGGGCGCGAAAATTAAACTCAAATGTCTTCTTGGATTTTATGCCAGTGACAAGCTAATTTGGTTTATAAGATTGGGGGCAGTTTTACAGCAATGCACTGCACTTTTTCACCGACAGACCTCTATTTTAAATTTCTTTGTCTGCCCTTGGAACTTATGATTAATAATTGAAAAGTATTGTTTATCAATTCTTGATGATGTCGCCGCTTGTTTGATTATTATGTAATTAGATAAGAATTAAATATCATAAGTTTACAATAATTATTAAAATTGCCAATTTGATAGAAGTGTTACTGTAAACTATATTGTGTATACTTGATAGTTAATGTATGCCTAAGTCCCAATCAGTAATGCGCAGGTCCCTATTCCCTTTTGTGGGTTTCTCCTTCAAAAATATTCCACATTTAGGATCAGATAAAAATTTAAAGGGCACTGTTGTGGATCCTGCATGTCCCTTTTTTAAAATGAAGGTTCATTTAAATTTACAATGATAGTTCCTTTACTTTGATCAGGTTGAGGATGATGAGAGAGAGAACCTCATCTCGTGGTTGCAGAATCTAAACCTCAACTCAGAAACTATATCCAGGATGGTTTCAGAGCAGCTCAGTCTAACCGACCTATTGGAGCTAATTACAAGGTCTGAAAATCAAAATTTTACCTATTGTTATATGTAGAGAGAAATAGATCCTGGCATGTTGAGTGTTTTAGATCAAATATCAATATTACAGTCATAAACTTGATTTTCTTAAAAACTTTACCAGAACATAAGTTTAGGTTTTTTTTGTATGAAGTTCTAATTCACTTTTTTAATCAAAATTGTATTAAGCGTAGATAGATCACTGACTTAATTTTCTTTTAGCTTTTTTAGATCTGTTTCCGTTCGTTAACATAAATCAATTCTATTTCTTATATTGTTTGTCTATTTCAGGGATGATCTCAGAAGGTTGGGACTCAAGGCAGGGCCAGAGCTTAGAATCTGGAGAGCAATTTGTAAACAGAGAGAGCAGAACTAAATCTACTCTCAGGAAACTGAATATAATTTGCTCTTAAAGCAATTCATAAAAAATTAAGAAAATTCAGCCAAGAAAAAAAATCAGAATCAAACTCAGAATTAACTTCCACAATAATCCACAGCTATGTTGTTAAGAAGCAAACCATGATTTTTTGCACTGATTTATTTTCTAATATTCATGTTGCAACAAAATCTTCTTAAGCCATATACTGTAGTCACTAAGTACAAACCGTGCCATAAATGTTCTAGTATCAATACCTTATCAATACAATTATCAAAACAATTGCCATTAAGCAGCATTATCACAATATTCTTGAAATTATACTCAATCCATTTTTATACATTAATATAATTTTTTCACTTATTCTAGAGATAGGAACAGAAAGTTAGTATAAGTAGCATTAATTTGATTACTTTTTGTTATAATAACAATTATTAGTGTGAAATCTTAAGCCATGTACCAAATGGCTTGGTGCAGCCTGCTATTGACCATTGAGCACTAAAATAATGCAGTAAATGAGGATTTTCTCTTGCAATATATAAAACTGAACTAGAGTAATGAAATTTAGTTTTTGTAGTTTAAAGAATCTACTTATCCAGCCTAAAATCCCATCTGGATGCGAACTGCCTTTAATTCTGGTCCTATCTGTTAAAACACATAAACTAGGCAATTGTCAGTTGTTTGCTGATAAACCCAGAAATTAAAATAATCATGAGATATTATTTAAAATAGTATTTATGTTTACGAAATGACGATTAATTAGACTGTTAAACATTGTGTGCAGGGACTGGATTTAATGAATTTGAGTCAGGTCTAGAGACGGTTCAACCATATATCTTAATTTGGGGATTCTGGATTTGTCAATGTCCTGCAGATGGTATCTCCATGGCTGTAGATAGTTCAGAGACCTAGCTCAAAATCATTAAATTCGGTCCAGATTGTAAAAAAAATTCTCAAATTAAACCCAGTTAACACAAACCCTAACAAAATTTACATTTTATGTATATTTAGAACTGTTAAACCATATATAATCAGTTAATGTCAATAAAATGTTTATAACCTATAGAAAATTTTACAGATATACAGGGTGTCTCACAAAACATGACAGTTGATGAATAGTTTAAAATGTCTTCACTCTTCTTCCATATTTTGATAAGTTGATTGATACTGAAGAAACTAATGATAATATATATATATATATATATATATATATATAGAAGACAGTTATATTATATGGCATAATTGATTTCATATTAAAATATATATGAGTTAAATAATTTTTTTAAGTAATGAACTGCAAAAAGTCTTCAATATCTTATACAGTGTCATGGGAGAAGACATATAAAACTATTCACCTATTGTCATGTTTCGAGGGACACCCTGTATGTATACTATTGTTAGCATATTTAAGTGAGAGGGGATTTTATTGTAGTTGTAAAGAGCATCCAATGATCAATGCCATCTTCTCTATGAGTTTACTTTGTGCTAACGGTAAAATTTCCATTAATTTATTTATGTGAAAACCCACAATTCACGGTAATCTAAAATGTGCTCGCTTTCAAGCAAAAATTTATTAGCATTTTATCGTCTTTATTTTTTTTAGTTAGAAACAACCTCGTCGTGGTACTAAAGCAAAGAGAATAGATAAGTAAAGTTGAATTAAGTAGAAAAAAGTGTGAAATCGTCATTTTGTCGTACTGTTTCCATACTGCAGGTGTACTTCTCACATTTGAGCCATATAATTTTTGGAACAGATGGAATTGGGACGGAAGATTAATGTTTAAAAACTGGTGTCGCTTCGGCTTACCAAGGTTCCCACAAGATGGTGGAAACCGACAAACTTCCTGGCCAATAGTAGATACTCCAACGTGATGATCCGCTTTAAATGCATGAATGTAGGGCTAGGCAACAGAGATGCACTGTAAAAAAAACGTCTACGCTGCATAACGCTGGCACTACCGAGGACGATCTCATGGAGACCCGCTCTATTTTGCATAGCATATGATTTACGGTAGCCGGCTCTTTTAAAAATAAAGCCATCTTTACTCTCTGTAAAGTATGTTGTACAAGGACAGACTCTACCAAGAATAACGTAGGTTCTACTCCACATAAATATGTTTATTATTGCATCTACTCAGCTCTACGCTGCGTTAATTTTCTTAATGCGTGCATCTACTCTGCACTACTCTAGACTACTTATTCTCTATTCTAAAACTTCTCTTCAATACAATTCATAATTCCATCTCTACACTGCTTTAACATGTTTATGCCTAAATCTACTCTTTTCTTTGCATACATTTTTCTTTTCCATTCATATATTCTGTTCTACTAAGCACCACATCTTCTCTACTCAACATCCGGTTTTTGCTACTCGGCAATTTGCTTTCTCTATTCTGTATATATTTTTGTTTCCCTTGAATCTATTCCGCTCTACTCGATTCTGTATCTGCTCTATCCAACATCTAGTTGTCTATACTATGCATAATAATTTCTCTATTCCACATTTAGAAGAATATACTTAAGAAAAATTTTATGTTTTTAAAATCAAGTCTGCTAGTTACAAAATGTATTCTTCTTAGCTCTACATGGTATCCACTCTATACGTTTTATTTAAAACAGAGCCTGTATTGAATATGGTATATAATGTTTACTAAGGAATTGAGTCTTTGCCACAAACTCCGATTTTTTAATGTTTGCATCCTATTTTAGTTGATCTTCGATATGCAAAACTATAAATGCTGTTAGAGTAAATAAACCAAGTTTAAAATATCAAAGGTTTATTAAATCAGGTTGCAAACAAATATGAGCTTAAAAATTTGAGTTTATGGTAAAGTCTAAATTTCTTTGTTTTCTGGAAAATATTGCCTTCTAACTTTTTTGTTTTATTTTAAGGTAAAAAAATGCATCACATTGGATTTTATGGATACATAAATAGAGTACATGAACATTAAACTAGATAAACTTGTTATTATTTAGAGCATTGTATGTAGGAAAACTATTAACTTCAGCTCTTGATATTCACTTTTTAATTGAGGGATTTAACGGTTAAATCATCGAGATTCCCGTGGATTTGTCTGTGTGATTTTTAATTGTTGTTCTGCAGTCTGCATGTTATTGAATTGAAGGATGAGAAGGATGATATGTACTAGCTCTTTCCAGAAGAAGACTGAGGACGTTGTCTCTTTATTTCAGACCTAAATATAAAAGAAATATTAACAAAACAAAAAACACAAATCAGAGCTTTAACGCTATTTCAGGACTAATAAAAGCTAAAACCTTTCTTTAAAATTTTTAACTTTTCTTATACTTTTCAGAATGAATTTATCCT